TATTAAGTAAAATATAAAGGTGAACTTCCCCAGCTCAAGGATTCTGGAATGAGCTTCTAGGGGAATCAGAGAATTTCCCTCTGGCCACCAAGCAAGCGAGTTAAGAAGCTGAGAACATTAAACACCAGTGTGTCTGAATTGTTTCACCTTTTACTGGCTGACTCTAGAAATCTTCTTAGCTGTTTCTTTTTAAATAAACATCGAATCAATTAAGTTAACTAATGAAGAGATTAAAGTCAAAAAACATCTTGGATTCTGATTCATATAGCACTCCCCAGGTCACAGTCGCCTGGGTCAGCTCTCGGCATTCCCCGTCCACTTATAAAAAAGCTGATGAGTCAGCTCACAGCACACAGGAAATCTCCATCCCTTAGCCACCTGCACACTGTGTGCTCTGAAGAGCAGGCACCGGGGGTGAGGGGAGGGGGGTGCGGTGCTGTGACTCACCTGGTCCCCAGCCCTGCCCAGCACTAGCACCAGCAGGCTCTCACACTCTCCGAACGAAAGACAGACGGAACACACCATGTCCGTTCTCACCTTAAAATGCACTGTTCCACACCTGGAGATTACGTTTTGAAATCCGTATCATTTTCAAGTGAGAAATCTGAACTCAACAGTAAACCGAACAAAATATGAATTTTAGTGTTAAAAATCTCAATCTCTTCCACTGCTGGTAGGAAAGGAAAATGGTGCTGGCATTCTGGAAAACAGTTTGTCAGTTTCTTAATAAAACGAGAGCGTACACTTATTGTGTGCAACCCAATAATCACACTCGGGCACTCTCCTGGAGGGGTGAATGCATGACCCACACTAATGTATGCGAATGTTCCTAGGGTTAGATTTAGAAGAGTTAAAAACTGTAAGCAACCACGGTGTGTCTCAACGGGTCCATGGTGAAACCAACAATGGTATGTCCATGCCATGGAATACTATGCAGCCATCAAAGGAACTACAGATGCACACAACTTGGGCAGACGTCCAAGGGTGTTATGCTGTGTGCGAGAGGCCAGTCTCAAAAGGCCACATACTCTGTGACTCCATTTATTTATATAACTTTTTTTAAAAAAGATTTATTTATTTATTTTAGAGAGAGAGAAAGAGAGCCAGCATGAGCATGGGGAGGGTCAGAGGGAGAGAGGATCTCAGGCAGACTTTGAATTGAGCGTGGAACCCAACACGGGGCTCGATCTCAGCACGCTGAGATCATGACTTGAACTGAAACCAAGAGTCGGACGCTGAACAGACTGAGCCCCCCAGGCACCCCTGTTTATATAACTTTTTCTTGAAATAACAAAATTATAGAGATGAAATTAGTGGTTTCCAGGGGTTCTGGAGGGGATGAGGGAAGACTGGGTGGGGGTTGGGTGACTGTAAAAGGGAAGCGGAAGGAAGATCTCTGTGGTGACGGAATAGTTCTCTTGATCGTGGTGGTGGTGTGAGAAGATGGCACAGACAGGTGGACATACCCGACCAACGTGGGTTACTTGGTTTTGATGGGACAAGCATTACAAAACCATTGGGAGAAGGTGGGGGAAGGCTATGGGAGACCTCTCTGAACTATATTCACAACTGCCTATGAATCTCTAATTACTGCAAAATAAATGTTTAAAATGTGCATTTTAACACTTAAGAGTCTAAAATAAAGCAACTTTGGCAAAGATCTATACGAGCAGACTCCGGGGGCAGAGCCGGTAGGGAACACGCAGACCCTCTTGCCACCCTAGTTTGTCACTGTTGTTAATGCAAAAGAGCCCGAGCCAGCCCCCTGCTGCTCTCCAGACCTCACAGTGGGAGCTCGGTGAGCAGGGGCTGGAGGGAAGTGAGCCTGCAGACACCACCAATGTCCACCCTGGGCCACCCCTGTCACAGACTACATCTGAATCCAGGAACGGATTTCACTTGCTAATTGCCCCTTTTCCCTGGCCTGAGCTCCTGGTTTTAGGATCCACTCTCTAGACTCATGTCCTTAGAAAAACATATGGCTGCCTAGGATGCCTCAGGCCCCAGGACTGAGAATCTGCTGGGACCCCAAGGCCTAGTGCTCCGTGGCCAGCCCCAGTGTGTGGCAGCAGGCAGCGTGGCCAGGTCACCAGGGACAGAGAGGTTCCTGGTAGGCTGATTCTCACCCTCCTCTCCAGCCTAGAGTATCTTCTGCTCAGTGGGATCAGAATCAACCAACCAACTTGATATTCTCCCTCCTCTCCCGTTTACCTCTCATCCCTGGCCCCAGATACGAGGCAGGTGTACTTGAGTCTACAGTCTGTGCTAGGAACACTCACTTAAGAAGAAGATGATGCAAAATAGCATGTACAGAATAACTCCGTTAAATACAAACGTATATGCACATGAATATGGATTATATTATTATCCATATGTATAGATTATACTTACTTCTATATCTATTTTCTGAATATTCCACAATGAATAAGGATCACTTGTGAATTAAAACTAAAATCGTAGGGGCACCTGGGTAATGTAGTCAGTTAAGGGTCCCAATCTTGAGTTCGGCTCAGGTCGTGATCTCAAGGTCCTACGATCGAGCCCCATGTCAGCCTCCCTACTCAGTGTGTGGTCTACTTGAGATTCTCTCTCCCTCTCCCTCTGCCCCTCCCACTCATGCTCTCTCTTTCAAAATAAATAAATAAATAAATAAATAAATAAATAAATAAATAAATCTTTTTTTAAAAACCCCTAAAATTGTAAATAAGGAAACATCAGACAAGGCCAAATGAAAGGACATTTGCAAAATAACTGATCTCTATTCTTCAAAAGTATGAAGATACAGACTGAAGGAGTCGGAGGAGGTAAGACTCCCAAATGCAATGCTGAATCCTGGACTGGAAACTGGACCAGAAAAATGACATGAGGGGCGCCTGGGTGGCTCAGTGGGTTAAAGCCTCTGCCTTCGGCTCAGGTCATGATCCCAGGGTCTTAGGATCAAGCCCCACATCGGGCTCTCTGCTCAGCAGGGAGCCTATTCCTGTCTCTCTCTCTGCCTGCCTCTCTGCTTACTTGTGATCTCTCTCTCTGTCAAGAAGATAGATAAATAAAATCTTAAAAAAAGAAAAATGACATGAGGGGGGCAATCAGCACAATTTGAATGAAGTTTATTAGAGCAGCTGATCGATGAAAGTATCCATGCTGATTTCCTGATTTTGATAGTTGTAGTGCCCAAGATGTAGCCTTTAAGGGAAGCTGAGTAAAGAGTGTATGGGAACACTCTGTCCTATTCACACAGCTTTGCTATAAATCTAAAATTACTTCCAAAGAAAAATAAATGAGTACAACTGAGCCAGTGACAGTGTATCTAGGAGTATCTAGGAGTCCCACCTCCTGGAGTCCCACCTCCTAGATACTTAAGGCTCCAGAGCACCCTCCTATGCATACAGAGCCCAGCCTCGTGGGGCCGGGTGCAGGCAATGGGCCCATCACGACAAGGTTATCCCGGGTGTTTCCGGGTTCTGTAAGCCCCTTCCCTCCAGGCTCCTGCCTGCTGGGCTCTCCTGGACTCCAGGCCTTCCCTGTTCTTGGCCCCCAGCCTGGAAATCCAGCCTGTCCTTTGAGGTCCAGCACCAAAATCGGCCCCTCCATGGTAGGTCTGGACCCCTCCCTGACTTGACAAGGTCAGATTGTCTCTCCTTGCTGATGTCACAGCCCAGGACAGTCACTGTCTCAAACACAGTCTGACCGTGGAGGAGTGCTCAGGAATCTGTCTCTGGCATTCAGGGAACCTGGGAGGGCACGGCCCTCCACCAGGGGCTTGCAAGATTGGGATCAAGCCTGTGCTCAGTATGCAGTGGTGGCGTGAACCGCAATCCTTGAGATTCATGTGGTTGTTCTGAGGTGAGGGACACGCCTGGGTCCGGGCACAGAGAACTCGCGAGAGCACTCAGATGTCATCAGCCTGGCGGGATGCCTGTGCTTATGCCCTCCCCCACTCCTCCCTGCCCTCGGGGGACAGGCTTGGCAGAAACCTGCCTCTTGGGTGTGGTTTTAGCCGGAGCCACCCAAATGCTGGGTGCACACTGCCTGGTGTCCTTTTCTTGGTGCCATCCATGGGCTTGCTTTAACCTGTTTGCTGCAGGGTCACTCGCTCGGTCCCAGCCTTCAGGCAGATGACGAGAGGGGGCTGGTCACGTCAGATTGAAAGCTGGAACAACCTTCCACCTTCCCCTCCCAGACCTGGGGTCAGCACTGCCAAATTCAGAGCCAGTAAGCATGTCACCCACAAGCTAGATATTTTAGGACATGTTCAAAACACAAACAGACTCCTTTGCCCTGAATGGTTCCCCAGAATTCAGTGTCCCTGTGAGTAGAAAGGGGATGGTGGTGGCTGGCTCAGATGGACACCGTGTCTACAGAGCCCGGCAGACTGCCACATGCAAGAGCCACTCCCAGCCCCTGGCAGGAGTTCGAGTGGCAACCCAGCTGCAGGGCATCTCAGAGAGTGTCACACAGTGACAGGTCCCCGTGTGCCACAGGGGTGCCTCACACAAATGTTTTATGGCAGATGTTGCCACAAACTACCTCTTGCACAGAGTCTACAAGTCAAAGTTCAAAGTCAGCGCACATGACTATTAATACTGTAAGACCTCCTCTCAGAAGGAAAGACAGAGCCACCCCCCCCACCGTTTTTGAACTTTAGAAAAAGCAGAAACAAGCAAGTAGTTGGAGAAAAGACATCATAGAAAAGTCCATTGCCAGCATCTTTCTGAGGACCCAGGACACTTTAGCAGCATCCCCCTTACCTCTCACTGGCCCCTCCGATCACCAGGGGCCTGCCTGTCACCGACAGTGAGTGGGTTTATTTTGGAAGCAGGAAACCCACCCCATACTGCAGGAGTTGGGAGGAGCACCTGGAGGGATTAGGGACCACCCGGGTGAGTCTGGTGGGGGAGATCGGAAACCACAGCAGCCAGAGCCCCGTCCCCCTTTCCTGGGGAGTGCTGGCTTCTCCCCGGCCCTCCCCTTCCGCAGGTGACCCACGCGGCAGCACTCACCAGCTCGGGCAAGAAGAAGGCGTAGGGGATGGTGAAGAACAGCAGGACCCCCAGGGGCACCTGGGGCGGGGCGTAGCTGGTGGGGGGTGGCAGGTCCGGGGAGGCCATCTCTCGCCCGCTGCCTGGTGCCCTTGGCTCCGCACGGCTGGCCCGCGCCGCCGTCAAATATCACCTCCTGCCCGACACACCCATCGGACGTCGCCTGGGAGGAAAAAAAAAGTTCCAGCCGAGCAGGTCCAGCCACTGGCTGCAGCCAACAGACTCCTCAGTGAAACGCGAATGTGGATTCAGATTTGCATCCGATGGGCCCTGGCTCCCAGGGCAGAGACACTGAGGCACCGAGGGCAGGAATCTCTTTCTACCCTTTTACCCCTCGGGAATTTTGAATCCGGGAGCGGATTACTCCAGGGATGCCAGCTACAGCCACCACCCTCCTGTGGCCAGAGTCTAGGCGAAGGCCACCTGCTTTGACCAGGATTGTTTTTGAGCTAAGCGATCCGCAGGCAGACTCTGGTGCTCCCCACAGCGCGCTCAAGGCGATATCATCTCTTTCCCAAGTGAGGAGACCGAGAATCTGTTAGGTTTAGTTAAGGTCACAAAGCTGGTCACAGACAATGCTGGGTCTTAAATCCGGCCGACCCTGCTGCCTGGGTCCCTCCTTCTCTACTCTTGGGGGCCACCCTCTGTCTCAAACAGGGAGAGAAGCCGTCCTTGCTTCCAGCTCCTGTCCCCAGGAAACTGGCGTTTCCTTCTCTCCCTGCACCCCCTTCACCACCGTCCTCTCCTCTCTGCTCACACAGCAGATGGAGGAGTCCTCTCTCCCTAGGAGAAGTCCACCCCAGCAGGCACCTGAGAAGGGCTCAGTTGGCTGGGTGCTGTCCCAAGTTTGAGCCTTTCTTCCTCCCTGCCACAGCCCCCGGTCAGTATCGCCAGGAGCTGGGCTTGGGGCCAGGCAGTTCCTTCCTGCCTCCCGCCCACCCGCTGGCCACTCAGGGGGGCTGTGACCCAGTGGCCAAACAATTCCTCTCACTCTAAAGACAGGTCCTGGAGACTTGAGGCCTCTTCTCCTCTACCTTAGAGTTGACCGTCTGCAGAAAGGCCTGGAACCCCAAGAATCTGCTTGGGGTGCCTGGGATTGGGGTCATTTCTCCCTGCCCTCCATGGTCAATTTCAGCCCCCGAGGAAGTCCAGTTCGGGAGATGCTCCTTCGTGAGGAGGGGATTTGGGAAGGATCACCGTCCTGGGGTCACTAGTGTCTTCCACAAGAGGCCAGTATCTGTTCATTAGCAAGAGCTATGCATTCCAGGGCCTGCCCTCCCGGGCACAGGTCAGTCAGTGGGACAGCCAGCTGGGCCTTTGCCTGGTCTAGGGACAGTGAGCGGAGAGTGGGGTTTTGGACAAATGAAGCCCAAAGCAAAGCGTTGCAAGGAGAGGCGAAGCGCACACTGACTAAACTTCAAGCCAGCCTGGTCATTCCCTCCTGTCAGGCCCGCAGAGACCTGGGGGGAAGTGAGGCCCTTATTCCACCTGCCATCTGACCCCACCTCATTTGCAGGATGAACTCAAGCTAAGTGGGCATTGCCTCAGGAATTCCACCTCTTGCCACCTCTCCTGCAGGTTGTATAAGCTCCATGACACGCTTCTGGCCTGTAGGATACTTGGACTTGACCACTGACAATACGGCATCCTGGGAGCAGCTTAGGGAAAGCAAGAAGGAACACGTGGTCCTTAGGCACAGTTCTCATCTATGAAGCAGCGGGAATAGTAGAACCTTAGATGCTGACAGAGCCTGAGCCACTTTCACTTCCTGAGGCAATTAGTGTATTAAGAAATGAAGATGGCGGGGGGGGGCACCTGGGTGGCTCAGTCGGTTGAGTGTCTGCCTTCGGCTCAGGTCATGATCCCAGGGTCCTGGGATCCAGCCCTGCATCTGGATCCCTGCTCAGCAGGAAACCTGCTTCTCCCTCTCCCACTTCCCCTGCTTGTGCTCCCTCTCCGGCTGTCTCTCTGTCAAATAAATAAATAAAATCTTAAAAAAAAAAAAGAGAGAGAGAGAAATGAACATGGAGGCTCTTGGGGGCCCAGTTGGTTGAGCGGACCAACTCCTGATTTTGGCTCAGGTCACGATCTCAGGGTCGTGAGATGGAACCTCGAATTGGGCTCTGTGCCTAGCTTGGAGCCTGCTTGGGATTCTCTCTCTCCCTATCTCTGCCTCTCCTCCCCTCTCTCTTGCACTCTCTCCCACTAAGGAAAGAAAGAAAGAAAGAAAGAAAGAAAGAAAGAAAGAAAGAAAGAAAGAAAGAAAGAAAGAAAGAAAGAGAGGGAGGGAGGGAGGGAGGGAGGGAGGGAGGGAGGAAGGAAGGAAGGAAGGAAGAAAGAAAGAAACGAAGATGTGACAAAACGTGGTTATAAAAACCTGGGCATATTTTCAATATTTTATGTATAACCAAGTGATGCTGTATCATCTGTGACAAAGCATAGCACACTCAACTTAGGTAGTTGGTGAGAAAGCTGCAGGATTCAGAATGCACCCTAGGGAGCCAGAGCCCCGCAGGGACAGCAGTTTAGAGCTGTAAGAACAGCTGCAACTGGGAACAAATAGAAAACAGCTCACGTGTTCCTGAAATGGTTCTGATTTTTGTATCGTATTCCTGGAGGAGGTATCACAGAACGCTCCAGGAGGCACTCCCGACGGCCGTCCTGCCGATATGTGTTTCAGAAGGAGGCAGTATCCCAGATGTATCAGGTCTGGCTGAGTATCAGCAAAGGGCTTCGGATAATCAGACCACGTGATCAGTGCGATACCGGTCCCCAACCCCTAACCTCCCCCCCACCCCCTGCCTTGCCTAGGACGGCAGGGTGAGAGGAAGCTCTTGGAAATGATTCTTGGGTCATGTCTTCTTCCCCCTGCTGGGTTTTTTTTTTTTTCCCCTTCTTTCTTTTTGGATCGGTTTTTATACTTCTAGCTTACGTCCCAGGACACTTCTTAACCAATGTACTGTTAAACATTCTATGTAAAAAGTTATATTATCAGAGAATGTATTAGGAAATAAATCTTTTTCGTAGAAAAGCTTAAAGAAAAATGAACAAAAGGACACCTCTGCCATGCTTTCTGTGCCATAGAGCAGATTTAAGTTTTGTGCAAGTTAATATTTTTAAAGTAACAATAAAATTTTGAAGCAGGGTAAAGAGGGACATCTCTGGGGCTATGGGTATATAAGCCCTTGAAGACAAGGTCAGCAGTCTGCTGTGAGGCTGTGGGGGAATGCCAGGGCGCAGGAGAGGGGTCTTCCAGACTCTTCTGCAAAGCGCCTGCTGGTTTCCACTTCCTGGACGGAGAATTGGCATTAATCTTGAAAATCGCGCGATTAGTCCTCAACGCTCCTGATTCCTGTTATCGTGGTGTTCACACTCTCTTTTGTTCATGAGGGTGGGTTAAAGGGGATGACGCATACGAAAGCACTTAGGACAGTTCAGGCATATGGCAGATGCTTAGTAAGTACTTGCTTATTTTTCTTATTCTAATCCTGAAATCACTTCTCTTCTGGCTTTCTTTCCTCTCCACAACAGAACCTCCCCGTTCATACTTCCACCCTGATTTTTAAAAATAGTTTCAAAATTGTTTTTACTGGTGCATAATACCCTTATAGAAAAAGTACACAAAACACACAGACCATGAAACTGCCACCCAGGCATAGCATGTTGCCAGACTCCCAGTTATTTCTCCCGCCCTCCTCCTAAATACCTGCTCTCAAGCCATCTTAACCCTGTAGGCTGGTTTTGCCTGTTTTTGAATGGATTCCTTTGTGTCTGGCTTCTTTCACTCCTCAGCCTGAGGTCTCTGAAACTCATCCATCACTATGTCCTGCTGTGGCTCATTCACTGCTGCCTGGTGTCCCACTTTATGAATATGGTAAAATTCATCAACCTGTTGTTTTTTGGACATTTGAGTTCTTTCAGTTGGGGTTCTAATGAAGAACAAGACTATGAACAATATTATGAACATTCTAGAACATGTCTTTCAGGGTATCTATGTATACATTTTTTTTTTAAAAGATTTTATTTATTTGAGAGAGATGGGGAGAGTGAGTGAGCATGAGCAGGGGGAGGGGCAGAGGGAGAAGCAGACTCCCCACTGAGCGTGGAACCTGATGCAGGACTCGATCCCAGGACCCTGAGATTATGACCTGAGCCAAAGTCAGATGCTTAACCCACTAGGCCACCCAGGTGCCCCTGGGTCATGTGGTGTGTGTTTTTTGCAGGTGACGTCAAGCTATTTTACAAAGTGGTTTAAACTATTTATATTCCCACCAGGAATGTATGCAAGTACTGTTGCTGGTAACTGATTATCTGCATGTGTATTATAACACACTTGGTGTCTACATGGTATATATTTTTTCCAGCCTTTTATTTTGCTTCTCACCTTTTGACTTTTACTTATATTTATAGGGGTTTTGCTGCACTCGTGATTTAAATAGGTCTTTTTTCTTTCAAAAATCCCTTCTGAAGTCTGCTACTTTCAATATGTTTAGACTTTACATTGAATAGAATTATTGGTATGTCTGGATTTAGGTCTACCATTTTATTTTTTTGTTTGTTTGCTTTGTGTTTCATTTCTTTGCTTCCTCTTTCCTGCATTCCTTTGGATTTTGGGAATATTTTTAGTGTTCCACTTTAACTCGTCTACTGAGTTTTGACTACGTCTCTTCACACTGTTTATTTTGAAGTTTGCTCCAGGAGTTATACAATATTCGCAGTTAACTCTCCAGTCTACTCAGAATTAGTATTTTGTCACTTCAAAGGGAGGGCAGAAACCTTATGACCATGTAGGTCCGCTTTACATTCTTGTTTTACAGTCACAACTGTTGTTTGTAGTGTGTATATGCAAACATTCAAACTCCACCAGACAATGTTATGACTTTTGCTTTCAACTATCATACAAGTTTTAAAGAACTTAGAGGAAAAATACTGAGTCCGTGCAATGAATGTTTTCTGTTTGGTTATTGTATTTACTCCCCAGACTTCAATTCAGTTCTTTTGTATTGTTTATTTCTCTGATGAGACTATCTTCCTATTTATTTCAAGATTTGCCTGTATTTCTTGGAACA